TGCCCATAATACTTCAGCCCATAATCAGAGCACATGTTTCGCAGCTGCTGAAAACCAGCACTGCTGCATGAAGTCATCGGCATACATGAAATGATTAATCAGATTGTTACCAATCATGCATCCAGTTTTACAGTTCTTGAGTTGATTTGACAAATCGTCCATGAAGAGGTTGAACAGAGCAGGTGGCAGTAGCCCCCTCGGCCCACCCCCTTACTAACACCAAAGGAGGCTAAAGCTTGGTTTATACTTGACGCATTCACTTTCCGCTTGGTGATGCGGCTCGCAGATGGAACGCGCTTCACAACTTGCAGCGTTTATGGTTCATGTGGCTTGTCTCTGCGGTGAGCCAATATTCTCCCAAACTGAACGGGGCAGCATGGAGCTCTACGGCATGCATCCAACACTACACCATAGTAGAAGTAAAATTTACTGTTTACAACATGGCATTCCAGCATTTTTTGACAGCGTCCTCGTCTTTTCCGACAGTGCAAGCTATTTCTCTCCAAGAATTATTAACAACATGTTGATCACGGTGATCTTTGAGAGCTGAATCTTACAAATGTCTGGATTTACAAACCTCTGCCATACTAGTTCTTGCCAGTCCGCCATGTTTTTCCGCGTCCGCGTGATTAGAAAATTTCCTAGGTGTGCGGTGCAGAAATTTTGGGCCGTGTGGAGGCGCGGTGGAGAGGCGTGGTTGTTAAAATGACGCAATTTCACCGTGCGGACCTCGCGGACGCGTCAAGCATAAACCAACCTTAATGTGGTATTGCCCCATGTAACTTGCAATGTCTGATGAGAATACCAGTATGCCAAAATCCTCAATTGCACTTAATTTACAAAAAAACTTAGATGCTTTGACCCGATCAAATGCCTTAGATGCATCATTAAACCCCGTCATCACTGAGGAGCTCTGTGTTAAATAAAACTGAGCTGCCTCTTTCAGGCCATAGATACACAGATCTGCTCCCAGCTTGGATGTAAAACCAAACTGGTGGTGTGTCGTTGTTATACAGCGACACAGTCGATCAAGCAATATCTTTTCCAGAATCTTAGAAATAACACTAGCTAAGGCTATTGGCCTGTAATTATCCAAGCTCCCAACTTTACCAGCTTTGTTTTTTATGACAGGCACTAAGGTAACAGACAGTAATGGATCATGAACCCAGAGAAGCACAGGGCCAGGAGTACCGTAGTCCTAGGACTTTCAAACTTCTGATGTTCTGCTGAGATGTCATCTGAGCCTGTTGCCTTGTTGTTAGACAAGTGTGCTATTGCTTGTCACACTGATGATCACTGCATCCCTGCTAGTAATATTTCCCACCTTGTATGGCTCACTTTGACAGTTATACAAGTCAAAGTAGTGCTGTCTCCATAACTCCTCTATATTATCAGCCCCAGACACTCCTTCTATGGCCCTGGGCAGTACTGTATTAATCCTGTTCAGAGTCCTCATCTCATTCCAGAAGCCCATCACATTATTAGATAAAAGCTTTTCAGCCATAGAGTCCGCTCTCATGTTCTGTTCATGTTTTACAATATAACGAATTGCATATTTATACTTCGAACTGGTGAGCCGTTTATACTCCAGGACCGACCCTGCTCTGGGTCTTCCTGCTTGAACCCATGCCTGATGTGCTAGCGTTGCTTCTGCTTGATGTGCCGCCACATGCTTGGTCCATCCCTGCTTGATGCTTTTAGCCTTGGTACATGTAAGGTATGATCTGCTACAGTCATAAATGGCATCAACAATACCTTCATACGTTACACAGAGGTCCTTATAGTGAGAGATATTACAATTGAGAATTGTATTAATTACGTGTCTGGGTATATGTACATTACTCAAAGCAGTATCTGATTTTGAGCAATATGCCTCAAGAACCTTTTTTGAAAGTTTGGACCATTCCATAATAACTTTGTAGCCCTTGTTTACTTGTTTAATCACCTCTGGAAGTCCTGATTTCCAGCTGCAGGACAAGCGGCACATGATCGGACACAGAATAGATCCCCTTCCCACCTCTCTAGTTAAATCCTCCCTGTCCTCTTTCACACCGTTCATAACTGCCATTATCCACTCTTCTCTCGCCACTGGTATTGTTCCATCTCAACTCAAAACTGCTTCAGTCACACCCATACTTAAAAAACCAGGTGTAGATCCAAACAACTTTAATAACCTTCACCTCATTTCTAACCTACCGTTCATTAAAAAAATTCTGGAAAAAGTTGTCGTCTCCCATCTCCACTCACTCGGAACAAAACACTATGAACTATTTCAATCAGGTTTTCACCCTGGTCACAGTACAGAAACTGCTCTCTTAAAATCACTAATGATCTTCTGACTGCTGCTTATTCAAGCCTTCTTATCTTCCTCATCCTGCTTGAGCTGAGCGCAGCTTTTGATACAGTTTCTCATTCAGTTCTTCTTGACAGGCTCTCATCTATTGGCATGTCCCATCTCACACTTGACTGGTTCCTCTCCTATCTCTCAGGCCGCACACAATTCATACAACTCAAATCCTTCAGATCAGTTGTCAAAGGTGTGCCCCAAGGTTCTGTCTTGGGGCCCCTTCTCTTCATTATCTACCTCCTTCCACTTGGTCATATCTTTCACAAATTTAACATTCATTTTCACTGCTATGCCGATGACATCCAGCTTTACTTTTCCTTAAAACCCCAATCTCCACTTCGACCCCCCTCACTCTCTTCCTGTCTAGCTGAAATTACATCTTGGTTCACCACAAATTTTCCTCAAACTTAACAGTGACAAAACAGAAATCCTTTTAGTTGACACCAAATCCACCTTTATCCAAATCCCCCAGTTTTTCCCTTACTGTTGATTCCTCCTCTATTTCTTTTTCTCTGCAGGTTAAGAGTCTGGGTGTCATTCTTGACACCACTCTTTCATTTCAATCCCACATCAATGACATCACTCGGTCTGCCTACTTTCACCTGTGCAATATTAATCACCTTCGCCCCTCTCTCACCCCCCACTCTGCTTCCATACTTGTTCACAGCCTTGTCTCCTCAAGAATCGACTACTGCAATTCACTCCTATTTAGTTTACCACAAAAGTCCATCATAAGCTCCAACTGGTCCAGAATTCTGCTGCACGCATCATCTCTTAAACCCCTGTGAGTCACCATATCAGCCCTGTCCTGCAACAGCTTCACTGGCTTCCTGTTAGACAACGCATACATTTCAAAATCCTTCTCCTCACATTTAAAGCTATCCATAACCTTTCTTCCCATACCTGTCTGACCTCATTCACATTATCTCTCCCATCCGTTCCCTCAGATCATTATCCTCTATCACTCTCTCTGTCCCACCTTTCCGTCTCAGCACTATGGGGAGCAAAACTTTCAGCAGCTCTGCTCCCCGTCCCTGGAATTCTCTCCCTCAAGCCATCCGTAACTCTGACTTGCTCTCCTCCTTTAAATCTAGACTCAAAACCCACCTGTTTCAGACAGCATACTGCTAGTGTCACCTTTTCCATCTTCATTGGTTTTATTATCTAGTTTGTATTTTTAGGCTTCTGTGTGTGATTTTTGCTGTTTTTAATTTGGTTTCTTTGTTATTTTATTGCTGTAAAGTTTCCTTGTGTCCCTTGAATGGTGCTTTAAAATAAAATGCATTATTATTATTATTATTATTATTATTATTATTATTATACTCGTACATGATCTGCAAAGATTTCAATCCAGCATGCGTATTAGCAGTACTGTTGTAATGATCCAGCCATGACGTAGTGTTCCATGCTTCACTTATATAGGTAAAGCTGTCAGGTGGTAACAATAGCTGGCTAGATAAAATAAGATGGTTGTCCTCACAGAACTGCCCCATATGTTTTGCAAACACAGACTGAATGTCTGTGATGTCAGCTTTCAAGTCCCCTACCACACAGATAGATGCAAAATGATGCTCCCAGATAAAAGGGTTAATAAAAGCAAGTCTATTCAAGTATAAATCTTCCTTCTGCAGAGACCCTGGTGTATAGATGTTCAAGATGACAATTTCCATAATTATACATGTGCTGAGGTCCCTTATTGCGGTTAAATGGCTTTTCAGTTCTTTTCAGTGGGGGAAATGAGTCTTACTCATTAATAGTTATGACATCTCGCTACTGATTGGCTTACAGCGAAGTGAATCTTCCACTGCCTCAATTAGCTCTTTTTTTGGGGTAAAAATTGCAACGTTGATGTTTAATCTCCATAAATAACACAAGTCTGAATGTGTTCTTACGTGTTGTGGGGTTGCTAATGCGAACGGTTAGCTTGTAATAGCTAAGTTGAGTTGTGCTCTCTCCTGGATTTTAAATTGACAACAGCTTTCCGTCATCATAAGCTGAAAGATGAGTCCATGAATGCAAATTTACAATGCAACATAGATCTGGCTGGCTTTTCTATTGGAGGCTATTGCAGCAAATAAGGGTAGAAGATAGGTATTGATGAAATTCTGGCAATACGATACAGGGGAGGCAATACAATATATCACGATATATTGCGATACATTCAGGCGATGTTAGCGATTTTTTTTTTTAGATTGAATTTTTTTGTGTGTAAATTCAATGAACAGTCCAAATCGATACTTAACATGTTTAACATGAGGTATCTGAACCACAATAGAGGGATTTACATCTCAATGGTGGAAACAAAACCTGTTGCACACTGCTTCCAACTAGTGGTCGGTGTTTGAATTGCACCAAAAGAAAAGAAAATACACAAATGTTTGCATGTAAATTCTTCCAAGAATTAGATTCACAGCTTTTGAATATCAATATAAATGTACTGAAAAAATATCACGATATATTGCCATATTGATATTTCCTTACATCCCTAGTAGATGAGTATTTTCATGTTTGGCCTGCATGTGTAACTCAGACTGATTAATCATATTTTAAAAAACAAATAAAAGCAAGTATTATACATTTCACATATATTTCTTTTCAACTTTCAAAAGTACTTGTTTTTGAACAGTGCTGACAAAACTTCTCATTTTTGCAGAAAAGGTTCGTGAGATCCAGGAGAAACTTGAAGCTTTCATAGAAGCTCTTCACAAGGATAAATAACAGATCAGGTATTTTTACCCCCTCAATAAAAAGTGTTGTATGTAAGTAAAATGTGTGATCTGGAATTAGGAGTGACTTGGTAATGACGTTTTCTTTTTTTGCATTGCAGCAGAAGGAATGAACTGAACAAAGGCATCACATCCATAAATGACTCTCTGGCACTGACTCAACCGTTTCCTGGTTTCACCACCTCAACCTGGCTTCCCATTTCCTCTCCCACTGAACAGAAGCAAGATACAGACACAAAATTCCTGCATTTCTCTGGCCTCTGATGTTTCTTTGAAACAAACACGGGACGGGAGCACATGGAGTAAAATAACTTACTAAACACAAACATTTCATCGAGCTGTTAGAATCTGTTGTCAATAAATAAGGACTGTCAACATGTTTTTCCTCCTACTTTCTTTCTTCCTTTTTACCTGGTGCTTCTAAACTGTTCCACATTACCGGGCAAATAAACACAAAAACTTAATTTCCTCCTAAAAAATTCAAATAGTCGCACTTTTGGCTTATTACACTTTATTTTTTATAAGTATTGTCCATTTATTCCAAGTAAAATGTGTAACTCAAGAAAAAAAAAAACTAGGAATTAGTTCAGTATTTCTTCAACACTTTCAGGAGTTTTATTTCATAAATGCAAATTTATTTATTTTTCTAATTGGTTTATTACAATAAATATTAAAATCCTGCGTTTCTGTTTGCCAGACCATAACTCCTTGTCATGCTTTTTAGTCTGCCCTGTCTTTTCTGTCCATGTTTACAAACATGTCATCCAGATGCTGCAAATCTCTGTTTTTATAGATTATTATTATTTGAGAGTAAAAATAAATAAAATGTCTTTTAAAATTAAATGAGAGGATGATTTTAAAACACTTTTTGGTCACTTTCATGGTAAATTTAGGCTTTATTTCCTGCTAGATTGTCTCCTTCGGTTAAGTTTTTCTGTCATAACTGAGTTTAAAACAATCTGTCGATGATGCCTGTTGGGTGTTGTGGTCTGTGACCCAGACGCAGTCATTTTCATCCTCCCATGCGTTCCTGTATCATTTGAATTTAAAATATGGAATTAATTATTTCAGTTTTTCCTCAAAATTAGGAGAAATACCCAAGATTAAAATGAAAATGTCTGCTTTCACATCTTATTTTCCTTTTTCATGACTGAATGTTTTCTGCTTCTCTCTCTCTGCACCTCCTTCATTTGGATCTTTCTGATTCCCCCCATCACTCCCATCTTGCTTCCAAACCCTGATGAGAATTCCATATATTTGCTCATTCATTCATTCATTCATTCATTCTTGTGTATATGGGTTTATGTATGTACATAAATAGGATGTGCAATCTGATCACGTTACCAGGAAGTCGGGGAGCTATCATGTACAGCACGAGTATCTAAGTGAGCCACTTGAGGAAAAGTTAACTGAGTCGGTTCAAAAACATGTTTTACGTTGTAGAAAGTAATGTGTGCATGGTGTATCCCTGCAGATGTGCTTTATTTATTTATGCTCAAAATAAAAATGACAAATTAAAAAAAGACTTTTTAGTTCTGCTTTTTCTTTGATATTTGTAATGTTAAACTATTATTTTTTCTAAAGAGGAAAGGAGCTTTGCTGCTAAATGTTGTCTGCCAGCTTCATTTTTTTGTTTGTTTGGTTTATGATGAAATAAAATTAAGTGCCGCCCTCGAGAGCTACCATGTTCTACAAGTTTCCTGCTCAAACACCACTCATTCCAGCAGGAATTAGCCAACAGGCGGGCTGAAGTTTGTTTTGTATGATGAACAATATTTCCTGCCTAAAGTCCTTTTGAGTTAAATAAAATTTTTCAATTTGTTCCCCTTAGATCTGAATGATCTCAGCGATCTCTGTGCACCATAGTGCCTTTTTATTGATGGGATCAATGATTATTGCCATCTCTATCTGTCCTTTTATTTTTGATAGTTTTAAAATATTTTCCTTTTTTTATGACCGTGGCAATGGATCCATGCCCCAACAGTCCATCTCTGCAGCAGCGCAGTGCTGCTTGAAGAGAATTTTTTTTTTTTACTTTCCACGCCTACATCACACCCCAGAGCCTGGATTTCCATCTTGGTTGTTATGGCTACCCATGAAACCAGACTGACAAGCAGGTTTATTTATATTTAACTGCACAATATTCATAACATAGTTTGCATTGTCCATTTATGGCAGAAGGTAGGTGTGTAGGAGGAGGCATGTGATCCAGAAACACCTGAGCACATTCCTAAGAGAGGTGTGATGTTTAAAGCTGAAACACATGGAGCCATGTGTGAGCAGAGTGTTACGTAGGGAAACTAGTTTGCTAAAGTAATTTTCTTTTTGCTGTAGGGTTTTAGTAAGGATGCCACACACAGTTTTCTAAATGAGGCACCAGGTCCACGTGACTGTTAGAGAATCAGAAATAATACAAACTCCGATCTGATTGTCCATGATGGTAATTAATGCAGAAATATATTTTTAAAATGTGCTTTTATGTGTATGTAAATAAAGTTATAACAAAACAGAGTTACAATTGAGATTTGAATAGCCTGACAGTTTTATCTATCACTGAACCTTTAAGGACTCACCCAACTTGGCTCGCGACGGTGAAGGCGGATGTTTTAGCGTCCAGGAAACAGCAGAGAACGTCTCGACTATGGCATAAGCTAACTGTTAGCATTAGCAGCTCCTCCACACAGCAGAACTTCTTTAGGCTTTTGTCACTTGTGAAGACAAAGCAACAACGTTGCAGAGCAAAGTCAGTAGTAGAGTCATGTTGCTGTTAGCCAATCCGAGGAGAGATGTCCAAATATCAGGAAGTAAGCCTCCAAATCCTGTTGTCTGAAGCTACCTGCTCTTCCAGCTGAATTGTTATGTTCCTACTAAAGACCACTGCGAACGTATTGATTAAACAAGCGAACCACACATCCAGTCTGATTTGAGGAGAAAGTACTTGGATTGTGTAATTGGTAAAAGATGCATCAATGCATGAACTAGTTGTTAGTTTGAGCTGATGTTAACCAAGCTGTGAATCACTTGAGAAGGAAACTCGTTTAATGTTTTGTACAGCTCTGTTTTCCTAAAACGTAATTGTTTTTTACATCTGAACGTGAAACTTTGGGGGGGGGGGGGGGGGGGGGGGTAGAGAGAGCACAAAGAAACCTCCTTTGATGTATTGGTTCAGCCTCAGCCCTGCAGATGTGGGTGTGTGTGTGTGTGTTTTGTATCTTACAGCTGGTGCTGCTGGATGCAGCGACCTGTGCTGATGAGCTGAGGCCTTTGCTCCAGGTCTGGGCAGAACCCTGTGAGTATTTAGGTCTACAGGCTGTTATCGGGTCCCAGAGCAGGCTGAAGGCACGCCGCAGCCTCAGGCAGGCAGCTGAGGGTCTGACTGATTAATAAGTCAGAGTCCAGAGGTCCTACACTCCCGGGCATCTTCTCTTCTTTCACAGACGCCAGGCTGTTACTGCTTCTCCACATTACTCAAAGGGCTGTGCATTGGGGAGACCTCATCCTCATCACCTGAGGCTTCACCCATGAAGATAACTCCTTGTCAAATCATTGCTTTCTGTCCTGCTATTATATTCCCTGTTTTCCTAAAAACAGAGGAAGAAAAAAAATTCCTCATGACTTTGTAGCAGCTACAAAAAGGAAAAGGGGAAGAGTCGACCTCCAGCGTAAGGCTTTTGTGCAATCAGATAGCCGCACTGCGCTGTGTGTGGAGGCGACACACTACGACCCATTAGCATCTGCAAAGGCCGTCACGTTGACTAATAGCCAGCAACACAACAGCACAGTGGCTCGGTTTGTGATTTCCTTCAATCCTCTTTATTCTGGCGACACAAAAGCAGGCCAGACCTGTCAAATGTGCCACAACAGCAGACACGCACAAAGCGCCATTACACCAGGCGTTCTGAAGAGAAAGAAAGGCCTAATTTTGTTGCCTCATTTTTTTATCCCCCACCTAATCATACAGACACAGAATCTATTGGCAGGGGCGTGGCAGGTTAGGAGAGGATGGAAACTTTGAATCTGTCATGAGAAAAGAGAGCGAAATGAGTTGTGAGGATGGGCGTTTCTCTGGTTTTAGCATCTGTCTGACTTCTTGTTGGTGCCGCTGGCTTTGTTGTCCTTTGTTAGCATCATGATGTGCAGCATATTCAGTGGAGGCGGAAACTGAAGCAAGAAGATTGGTTTGATTACAACTGAATTACTCAGCACGTTTCTCATATCAGTTTCTCACTGCCACTCTAGTTAGACCACTCCCCTGTGTGTTTTTGATGCTTCTCTGCTCCATCACACCTGATTCAAACCAGCAGGTCACTTAAAGGTTTCTGCAGAACTCTAAAGGTCCCATATCATTCAATTTTTAACCTTTGGGAGCAAAGGTAGGCACAGTATGTGATCAAATATCACTGTTGGCCCTACTGAGATGCCATTTATCTTAAATATTAGTTATTTTCGTCAGCCTGAATTTATACCTGAAAATAAAACTCTTTGTTTCAGTGAAACTCTGTCCACGCCCACTCCGACAAAACGGGCCTACAGCTGAAACAGATTTCATGTTTTTATATTTTAGTTTTATTATTTTCTGCTAAATATTTTTTGCTTCTAATGATGTTTGAATTTGGTCATTTCCAAGCTGATTTACTCTGCTTACCATACATGAACTCACACTAGCTACATACAGTAAAAAACAAACAGACTGGTCCACATATTTTAAACAGTTCACTAAAAAGAAGAAGAAAAAGTAACTTTACTGCTGGGATATGAACCCACATGCCAGTTTAGCACTCTAACCACTGGACTACCAAGTCTGCTACATGTTGCCACTTGCCTAAGCCACATATCCTTTAGCCTGGCCAGCCAGACTCGCCCTCTACAGAGGATGAGTCTGGATACTCAGAGGCTGAGAGCACCACGGGGGCAGGGCTAGCCAGCTCAAAATGAACCAACCAGAAAAAAGGGGCTATGATGACTATCATGCAGTGCTGAAGTTTTTTTTTGTTGTTGTTGTACTTAAAGATGGCATTTGGCGACAGCGCAAACATCTTTCTTTAGAAGAAAGGCTTTTAGCGCTTCTTCTTGTTGTGGTTTAAAGACGTGTCCAAGTCATAGAACAGAAGAAAGAGCCACTGCATTGTTTATGAGAAACTGAGTGTCGCGATGTGTGATGTAAGTAAGTAAGTAAGTAAAAGTTTATTTATATAGCGCCTTTCTCAGATATAAATCACATGTACGCTGCTCAGCGCTGATTGGCTCGGTTAGAATTCTCAGGGGGTGGGGTTATTTGAATGTGAGCGTTACCTGTCCCTTTGCTTCTCATAAAGAAGTATTGGCATGGCTGGTAAGGCTACATGTCCTGTGCTGGCTAGGGGAGACAGGTTTAAGACCAGAGGGGCTCCGTATCCGGGAGAGAACAGGGCCTGATGACGAGATTAGTTTCCATGGACGTTTTACAGGATTTTCAAAGTAAAACTCAAAATGTCCAGCTGAAACGGGAAAATGCATGAATGCAGCCAAAAAACAATTGTGATTTTTTTTATGAAGAAATAACAATATCACATGGTAAAAAGCTCCAAGACATGTTGAAGAGGAAATGTAACCATTTAAAGCATGAAGCAATTAAGGAAGAAAACATTTGATGGTTGCAAGATGCTCGCGTGTCGGCCATTTCTTCTAACAAACCAAAAATCATAAAATCATAACAAACAAACCATTTGTTTGTTAGTCCACGACAGACACCACAATACCAATTGTAAATGCACTAATTTGACCAATCTGAACCACTTATCAGCTCTTTAGCCAACAAGTGTAGATAAAGACAGTGGGTGTAAATCTAACACTCAGTGCCCCGGGTGACAAAGTGCCACCGCTCAGTCGCCACTGATGAATCTTATCAGTGGCTTGTTAAAGCAACAGGCTTCCTTTTCCGATTCATGTTACAAAACCCTCTACTGTCCCCGGGGCCCGCTGCTTTCTGCCCCACAGAGAAAGGCAGCACAATTGGTCTTTGTGCTCATTATGCTGGAGCCATCTTCCCATTGCGCTGTGGGGTCCATTCCAGTGCTGAACTGGGCCCGTGGGGATTTTAGCCAAGTCACAGAGGTCAGTGACCTTCCATGTCACACACACACACACACACACACACACACACACACACACACACACACACACACATACACACACACACACACACACACACACACACACACACACACACACACACACACACACACACCCCTGTTCTTTCTCTGTGAGTGCTATAATTTATTGCAGTGCTTAAAGTTTAGGAACTGGAGGAGGGAGAAGCGTGTGAATCTTGTGGTGGTCCTGCATTCCAGCGTGTGTGTGTGTGTCGTGCTGCTTGTTCTCACCATTCACATCTGACATCCACCCTGAAAGCATCAGAGTGGTGACCTCATCATCCCACATTGCAGAGCAGGACGTCATCAGTGAATTAGACCATTGTGGAGAAGAACAGCCTCCACTGGTAAATCCCTAAAGGTTGGTCTGGATTTTCCTGCTTCTCGCGAACAC